CTCACCGACCAAACTTTTCCTTTCTCATTTTCAGGAAGCTGCATTTTATCAAAATGTCTACGAGCTTATCACAATAAATAATTGTCGAAATTAACGCGCTTTTCCAGAGATCTTTTAACGCATCAGGTTTTACATATTACCAGCAGAGTGCCCGTCAAAAATGGCTAAGGAGAGCTTCTACCTAGGATTAGAATTTCTCAACACTTAGCCTAAGATTAAATTGTCGTTTCCTATGTCTTCTATTCGAGATCAATGTAGTATCTGTGAAAAGTATTACGCACTAATATAAACACACACACACACATATGTGCACGGTACTGAGTGAAAAGTTCTCAATAACTGTAATAGACCTAACCATATATATATATATATATATATATATATATATATATATATATAAAAGGTTAGGTAAATGTTGAAACTTGAATAAAACATGAAATAATAATAATAATACAACACAAAATGTATTGACACAAGAACGTGTACACAATATTTACAGATAGTTTTGGTATATTCTTGGGAAGACCGTTCCTGTAGAATGGGTTGACTTAATCGCAGTCGGGCAGAGTCTCTGGATTGCATCTCTTCTTCCTCCCCCGTCTTCCCGGTACCAACCATATTTATATGGTCGGTACTCCACTATGTAAATTAGGTGGATCGTACCACAACAGTAAATGAAAAAGTTAGATATTAGCGAGTATATACGCGTGTTGGCGTGCATATGTTGGTAAGCAAATAAATAATTACCAAATTTAGCCAAGAGGTGTAGATTTATCTTGTGCCCGATAATTTGGGTAACCAACGAAACTTAAGTCACGCACCAAACGAGGGTATATATATATATATATATATATATATATATATATATATATGAAATTTGTCACTTAGCTGATTGATATAATATTCAATAACCCCGACTCCAGAGTTTCGTAGACGAACTTTTGATTCACTAGTTTCAGCATTTGTCTGCCGATTTTTCCCATTTTTGTTATTTTTATATAAAGGTAAAAAAAAAATTCATTTTTATTGGTGTTAGGTTGATTTTTTTTTTTTCTTCTTCGTGTCTGTGTGTGCGCACACGTGTACAATGTCCTGGTTATAGCCTGCACGAGATATATATATATATATATATATATATATATATATATATATATATATATATATATTTAGAAATTTTAAAAGGAAAAAACATTACCAGCTATACATTTTTGAAGGAAGAAGATATTCGCAACAATACATTTTTGGAAAAAATATTACTGTTATATAGGGATAAAGTGTCTTTGCCGACACTTTAGTTTGAACACAGATCATCAGTGAGCGAACACAAGAGATTCCATTTCTAATAAATAGACCACGTGATCGTAAAGGAAAGATATATATGAGAATTAGCGTGGCGTCTAAGTGATCGCTATTCTCTATACTATCCTCTATACTGATCACTCTACGGATTACTATTCGAACAAGTATTACTAGTGCGAGTATTAGTTGAAAGAGTTACTACTAGTATCTGCAGTTCCAAAGTCTCGCCTACAACGAGCATTACGAACGTGATAACGAGTCTTCGTTTGGCATTGCGAAAGTAACAACACAAAAGCGTCTGACATCACAAAAATTACCAGCAATTAAAATTTTGTCGGCATTAAATAACTCATTGAGTTTGATATGCCGTAAAACAAAACATACATAGTCACACATTATTAAATGGACAAAGTCCGACAATTATTTTAAGACATTTTTTATGTTTATACGTTCTTTTTATAGATACAAATATTTAAGTAAATGCTCTGTTTATAATAAACAGTATTAACAACATTTACCGGCCTGAATGTTCATAGAAAATATGCATCCTCCGACAGGAATTGAACCTGGAGGATGCATATTTTCTATGAAAATTTCTCGGACATTCAGGCTGTAAATGTTGTTAATACTGTTTATTATAAACAGAGCATTTACTAAATATTTGTATCTATAAAAAAAAAAGAACGTATAAATATAAAAAAATGTCTTAAAATAGATAGGTTGTTGATGGCTATCTCTTTGCTCATTTCCATAACAAAATTGGGAAGAGCGTGGTAGATATGGAAGGCAGAAGAGGGTTTGAAGCGTGGAATGAAGAGAGTAAGAAAACTAAAAAAAGGAAAGAGAGGAAGGAAATGAAACAAGAGAGAAGAAATGTAGTGGGTAAGTAAGAAAGCCGAATAACAAAAAAACAAGAAAGAAGTCGAAACCAAAGAGTAAGAAAGAAAACGAGTGTGGAAAGCAAAAGAGGAGAAAGGGATTCGTATAAAAGAAAAGATGCAAACAAACTTGCTGGTTTGCATTTTTAAAAATGACTCCTTTACTCCTTTGAATTTCTCAAAAGTGGGTGAAGGCTGCTAGATACGACGATACAAACATGTCCATATAGTAATATCAGCTTTCTTTCATTCCTTCTAAACTCTATATTTCTAACATCTCCTAAAACTCTGAAATTTTATTTACTATTTTTTTTTCATCAATAGGAGTTGATAGGTTTGCCTATCGTCCGGTTTAGTTTCCTTTCCGATCTTTTGAACAAGAGTGGATCCCTTGTTTTCTGTTTAGGATCGGTTTTCCTGTTCCTTCTAAAATATTTTCATTCTCTTTCACCTCCAGTAGGAGGCTTGCGTCTTCATAGCATTATCGCCATCTTCAGTCTTCCTGTTCTTTTATTTGTCCTTTCTCCTCACTTTCTCATTCTCTTTCACTCCCAGTAAATATTACGTCTTAGTGGCATTATCACTTTGCTTGGGCTAAATGGATTAAAAAAAAAACTAGATGCTAAGTAAAAGTAACAAAAAAGGCTTTGTAATTCGGAAATCGAACCGTAAATATTTACTAATTTAACCACATAGCTATCACTGAAGAATGTGATCAACAAAGCGTAGAAAATAAAGAAAGATGAGCCTTTTGATTGCTTTGTGATTTTTTATAGCTTAGTATTTTATTTATCAAGCGGCCAGTATAAAGTGTCACTTGTTTTATATTATATAGTCTCAAGTTCCGTGTTACTGTATCTATTATTGTAAATACTTAATCCTTAATAGTACGAAGACTGCACTCTGGAGCAGTGGTTTGCAATTACAACTGCTGTAAGTTCGATCCTTGCCGTGGCCTGTTGCTGGGCTAAGTTAAAATTAGTAAACATTTCTGGGGTCTTTTTTGTATGTTCCAAATAGGTCAGTCAGGGAGTTCGCAATAACTATAATCTTGACTACGCCGATGTATTATTAATTAGTCTGACATATGACAAGCGTTGGAGAGCTCTTAGTGTAGACCAGACACAGTATAGTAGAAAAGATATCCCATAATGTGAGAGAGAAAGAGAGAGAGAGTATGACGTTTCTATATGCAGGTGTGTTTCTTCAATCAAAAACCAGCTCCGTCCCACTCCACCAGGCGAAGAGCAAACACTAACATTAAATAGCGATTTTAACCCCGATTTCCGATTGATGTATCTTTTGATCGACTTTTTTTTCTAAATATTAGTATATCTGTTTGCTTCCTTCCAGTCTGGGGGGAAGGTTGGGGGGGACTTATTTAACATTCCAAAAATCTCCAAAAAAGAGAACGATCTGGAAAAACGAAAAAGAATCCAAACCGCAGAAACGTAATCAGGCGAAAGATTAATGACTTCAGGTGGATGACGTGTCAAAGCGATATAAAAAAAAAAACCGCTAGTCCTGTTATCTTTCCGTTTCATGTTTGTCATTTTTCGCTCTTACCAGCAGATATTTTGATCGTTAGTGAAACTTTCTTTTTACGCGTTTTATAGCGACCCCCTGGCGTTCCGGGGTTAAAATAAATTCCAAGATTTACACAAATTATGATTTCACTATCTATTTGCAAATATATGTCAATGTCCATGCTCAATTCTTTCCGCACTTTAGTCTCACCTTTAACGGATCATCAAACAACAGTTAAATATATGTGAACAGACGTTGGTTTACCTTGTGGCCATATTATTTGCGTATTGACTTCCTGCCCACGTCGGTGGTCTGTACTCAAAATTCCAGCAAAAATACTTCGAATACAGGCGGCCGCAACACATTCTTCCTAGCCTATCTACCGTATCTACTCTTATGGGCTGAGTTCCTTTAAGACGTAGGCGATCATAGCCCTTCTTATCTTTATGGCCCTAGCAATGTTTGTCTCCTTACAATCCCTATCGTGCCATCTATCTATAAAAGTCTGTTAATTAGGTGATCATGGCTCTCCACTACTTCCTATCCTTTGTAGCTCTTAGCAATACTTGTCCTTCTACTACCTCCCCCAGTCATTCTCCTATATCCATTTACACATGCTCGTTAAAGTGATCATGGCTCTCCACTACTTCCTATCCTTTGTAGCTCTGAGCAATGCATGTCCTTCTACTATACCTCCCAGTCATTGTTCTACATCAATTTATACAAGTTCGTTAAATAGGTAATCATGGCTCTCCACTACTTCCTATCCTTTGTAGCTCTGAGCAGTGATTGTCCTCCATTGTTCTCCATCCATTTACACTTCTATGCAAATCGATATGTGCCTTTGCGCCTCCTGCCTTACAGATGTTCTGAGAGTGTTAGTTTCTCCAAGCCGTCTTAATTAGATATCCCAAATGTTTAAAATATCTCTTTCTGATCCCTAATATGTTATTTTCGTTCGCATTTTTTAAAAAAACTTCCTCACGTCTTTTGCCCATGGAATTCTCAGCATCCTTCTGTAGAAACATTACTATTGCCTCTAATCTCCTCTTCGGGTAATTTTCTGTCGATTTTCAGCAATCACTGCCATTTTCGAGGATTAAGATTTTTTTCTTATAATTTTTGGAGGGCATCTTTATCTATTCCAATGCGCCTTCGGATTTCGGTACCATATTTTTCCATCATATGTTTTAACACTTCCTGGGTAGTTAAAATTCTGTAATGGTTTTACTTAATTTGTAGCTCACACTCTGAGCTGTTCCTCTGTGACCATGACAGATCATCCTTTCTGTAGACTTACGGCTATATCACGTTGAAACACCAGTTCTTGTACGATATCCGAAGTTAAGCAACGTGGAGCCCGGTCAGTACCTAGATAGGACCGATTGGGAAATACAGGTACTGTAAACTTGGGTGTGCGAGTGGTGTAATGGATAACAAGTCTGAATTGGGGATCGGAGAGCCGGTTTCAATTCCAGTCGAGTTTGTTATATTCACTTAGGCGTAAGTACTCTTCGGAAAAGTATGGATCCATCTTTTCTCCCAGAGCTATGGGTTAATTATTAGGACATGTATCAGTAAATTATTATCTCCAAAAAATCTCTTACAATCTAAAAACATTTTCTGCCTTTAAATAACCTGAAAAATGTTGGCAAACCATAAAAACTCTCTTCTGTCGTCTTACAATTGATAGTTAGTCCTTTCTTCTCGCTTTTCCTTTACTATCGTGTTTAGAAATAAATTCAGTTTTCTTTCTGTGTCTGCTACCAATACAGTTTCATTAGCATTTTGTTAAGGTTGTGGCCACCAACAATGAATCCTGATAGCTTCTCTAGTATTTTTCAAATAGATCCGAAAAGAATTTGAGAAACTTTCCGCGAAAAGGTATGTTATAATTACAGTAGAATCCCTCATATCCGGAATCCCTCATATCCGGAATCCCTCATATCCGGACATGATTTTGATGCATATATTTGAACTATTTTGGTGATATGTAACTGATGTGAATTTTTTTTTTTTTTTTTTAAATTTACTTTAGATAATTGTTTATGCTTATTTCCCCCTAATGGCTTGTATTGGTGCAAAAGATGATGGGAAGAAGAGGAAAAGAACAACTTTGGAGTTATCGCAAAAAATAGAAATTTTTAACAGACTAGACACTGGTGAAAGTTCATTGTAACTAATGGCTGCAACATAAGAAAAGTCATCATCATATGATATAAAATCTTCCAAAGAAACTATTCTCCAGCATTCACACTGTCACAATGAACAAGGAAATAAAAAAAAACATGATTGTGATGAAACCTGGACAGAAATTGAAAACGCTATTGAAAAGGTTGTCAGTTTTATGGAAAGAAAGCCAACATTCAGCTATGACGATTGCAATAACGCACGCAAAGTTAAAAAGTCTTTCATTTAAAAAATTTCAAGAACAAAAGCAAAAAAATGTGGAACAAGTTGAAAATGACATTAGAAGAGAAAGAATCATCATGCAATAGCGATTAAAAAATCCTCGTTACATTATGTTTTGCATACGTGGCATATTTAATTTAATGAATTTTCATTAACATAATTTATTTCTTTTTCCTTAAAATCAATTCCGTTATATTTCACTCACCATTAGCTTATTTTGTTTACTATAAAACATTGAAAATAAATGTTAAACCTGATTTCAGTTCTTTTATTTTAATCTAAATATAACCCCTCATATCCAGACTTTGTAATCAATTCCTCATATCCGGAAGGCCTTCTTAGTCCGGTTGTCAGGGATTCTACTGTATATGTAAAATTATTGAGAAGAAAAAAATCTTGTAAAATCTGGATTTATCTTTTTTTTAATACTCAAAAAACATACACCTGATTTCGAGCTAAAAAAAAATCAGTTCACCCCAAGTAAGACGATAATGTCACTAAGACATAAGTGGCTCCTGGGAATGAAAGAGAATGAGAAAACTTTAAAAGGGACCGGGAACGCAGTCTTAAACAGGTGATAATCCTCTACTCCTGTTCAAAAGACCGTGAAGGAGTGTGAACCGAACGATTAATGAACCTATCTACTCCTATTGAAGAAAAGCAAACAAATAAATAGTAAATAAAATGTCAGAGTTCAGGTGGAGATGTTCGGCCTATTGAGTTGAAATAGACTTTAGAAAGAACCGGAAACCCAATCCCAAACAGGAAACACGAGATAAACCTTTATTTCCTGTTCAAAAAACCGGAGAAGAATGTGAACCAGACTCCTATTGAAGAAAAAAATTGTAAATAAAATTTCAGAGTTTTAGGAGCCGTCAGAAGTATAGAATGAAACTTTAGGATCAACTGGAAACCTAAACAGCAAACAAGGGATAACCCTCTACACCTGTTCAAAAGACCGGGGAGGACTGTGAACCTCACGATAATACATGCACACTAAATACTGTTCTGATCGGTTGCATAACCTGTTCCCGAGATAACCAAAATGGCTGTATACCTTCCAGATCGATCCCGTATGTGAACGCATTAGATTTTAGATTTAATTCTACTTTAAACATATACAGGTTACATAGGGTTTTATAAACTGTTTTTGAAAAGAGACTTAAAGTTGGTTTCAAATCCAAAGACCATTATCCAATTTTTAAAATTTCTACATGGTTACTCATTCGCGAACTGACTTCGGTTGATACAGCTTAACTTTAATGATCTGCGTGTGACGTATATGTAACAGCTGGCGGGACGATTGTAAACTAATTTCTCTTTGATTTTCTTTCAAACAATTACTGTTAGTGATCACATCTGTTACTGCTTTTTCCCAGGCTGTGCCCTAACCTCGCCACTGCGGGAGTATATCGATGACTGTCGAGTATTGATTTGGATCAATTGTTAGAGAACAAAAACTGAATTCTGGAGGATTCGTGTGGGAGCCAGTTCATGACCAACCAGAGGCAACATCTTGTATGATAATTTCAGATGCCTTTTTTTTTTTGCCCTTAGCCACCTTCCCAGTTAGAAAATGAATCATAATGACACTCACCAATTCGTTACCTAATACAGAACCAAAGCTCTCAAATCGAGTGTATGAATTTGAGCGATCTACATTTTTAAAAGAATCTAAAGGCAGAAATTTTTAAGCTACTTTTTTAGATCTAGATGCGGTAACGGGCTTCCAAATTCCAGTGCGTTTAATATGTCAAAAACCTCGATGATCTGATTTATTTTCTGCTTAGTGGATTAAGGCGTTTTTCATTAAATTTAGTGATATAGTAATTGGGAGTTCAATCCCTGGGCCGGGTAGTATATACTTAGATTCCGTGGAAACGGTGAGTAATATCTGAGCAGTACTAAATAAAGAGGATATATTCCTAGATATGGAACAAGAACAATCTATTCCGATAGATTAAAAAAAGGATTCTGATATTGTTAATTTTTTACTTGTATTTACTTTCATCTTCATTATTTGATGAAGTATTGTCAGCCATTATTATTAATTTTTTACTAGTATTTACATCTTCATTTCTTATTTGATGAAGCATTGTCCACCATTATTATTTATTTTGATTAATATTTACTTTCATTTCTTAGTTAGCTTTGTATAGAAACTTCACTCATATCATCAATTCTACAGAATTAAATCAAGAGTTTAAAGCCTCACAGTGAGATTCAAACTCACTTCTCTTTTACGTCAGGGAAGTTGGCAACTATCCTACAACTGTAAAAATTACGTAATACATTCTTGGATAAAATTCCACAAATTTTGTGAGACAACTTTTTGTGCCTAGTTCATCTTGATTTTATATATATATATATATATATATATATATATATATATATATAATGAAATGGACAAAGTCCGACAATTATTATACGACATTTTTATGTTCATACATTCTTTTTTATAGATACAAATATTTAAGTAAATGCTTTGTTTATAATAAACACAGTACAGCACGTCAGGCTATATGACGGTTCCGTATAGGATACAGGTTCGATTCCTGTCGGAGGACGAATATTTTCTGTGAAAATTTCTCGGACATTCAAGCCGGTAAATGTTGTTTATACTGTTTATTATAAAAAGAGCATTTACTTAAATATTTGTATCTATATAAAAAAAAGAATGTATAAACATAAAAATGTCTTATATATATATATATATATATATATATATATATTCTTGACTGAATTCCTGCGATGAATTATAATTATTTACATTTAGATTAATATCCTCATCTCTGTTATTGCTATTATTTATGAATTTGGTAACATAGTCATTATGAGTTCAGTCCCTGGGCCCGGTAGTACAGACTTAGACTCTGTTTCTACAAAATGAGCCATAACTGAGCAGTATTAAATAAAAAGACGAGATATTCCTCGATATGAGCAGTGGAACAAGAACATTCTATCCCTATAGATTAAAAATGGATTCTCATATTCATTTTTTTACGAGTATTTACATCAATTTTCATTTTTGTTACTATTGTCAGCCATTATTCATTTTTGACGAGTATTTACTTTCATTTTCTTTTATACAAAGAATTGTCATATATGATTTTTTTTTTTTTCAGATATAAGTTCTACTACTTAATCCATAATGACTTTTCCAGATATCTCAGTTTTCAGTTATCTCCCTTTAGTAACTCAACTCTCTTTTTTGTTCACTTCTGCTGTGGCAAAGAAGTGAGCTCACAACTCTTTGAGTCAAGTCACTGAATTACTTGAACCAATGTTTTTATCCACTGAGCCATTTGTCCTTTGGGCTACTAAGGGAAATAACAGTTATCCAGAAGAGGCATGGCACGTGGAACTAGAACAATAGTGAATGAAATAAAGGGTTCGGCCCGAAATTCCAACGTATATAATGTGAAGAAAGGTAGAGCGTACCGTGGCCTAAACGTTGTGAATATGGCAATAAAGATGGAGACAACAGTTTAAACAATGTAAATAATTTTTGAATGAACTTCTCTAGGTAGCATCGTTTGATTTGGTTTGTTTTATGGCATATCAACCTCGATGGGTTATTGAATGCCGATAAAATTTTTATTGCTGCTTTTTCTCCAAAAATGTAATATTTTTCTTTTCCAAAAATGTACTGCTGGTAATAATTTTTCCGAAAAAAAGAAGTATTGCTGGTATTAAAACCTATTTTTATACTTTCATAGTGTCTTGACCCCATTTTTTATTTTTTTTTTATTTTTTTTTTTTTTTTTTTTGAGGGGGTAACTATTTGCCCATAGCTTGGAACTTGATAGGTGCTACCACCCCGGGTGAAAGTGAACCTGGGAATACCTGCAATCGAGAGGTGATTCCACACCCCTCAAAACCTCCTGATCAAAGGCCTTGCTGTCGGATGTAGTTTACCCAGGACGCGGATGTAGTTTATCGTCGTACCCAGGACGCGGATGTAGTTTATCGTCGTACCCAGGACGGGGTAGCTT